TATACTCTTTAAAAATAATTAAGATGGCAGTTTTATGTTGTATATGTTTTATCACAACAACAAAAGTTTTTTAAAAGCTGAGTGACTGATACTAATATCGGCCAGAGTAAACTTTAAGGTAAAAAGTATTTCTAGGGATAATGAGAATCTGTACATAATTATATTCCTTCTGACTGCCTGACAGAAAATGTGCCATCTCTTGGGAAAATTGTATTTACTACTGTGTTTATAGTACTTTTAAACAGTGTCCAGCACACAATAAAAAATCCTAAGATTGCAAAGAAACAGGTAAACAGAATGTACAATCAAGAGAAAAATAGTAGAATAAAGTCTACAGGTGTCCCAGACAGTAAAAATTAGATAAGGAATTTTATTCTTATAAATATGCTAAAGAAAATAGAAGAGGAGATGGAAAAAATAAACAGATGAGGAATTTCAATAGAGAAATGAAATCTCTAACAAAGGACTTAATGGACATTCCAGAACTGAAATGTATAATACCTGAATTTAAGAATTTATTGGGTGGAATTAACCTTTAACCAGATATAGAAGAAGAATGGTGTGGTGAACTGAAAATCAGATCAGTTGCAATTATTCAAGCTAAAGCATTATTAGATGAAAAAAATACTGAGTAATGCAGAGTTACTGATTCGTTACTTTGATTCAGAGTAATGCACAGGATAAACTGATGTGGAATTGAGACTAGGCATAATGGTTTGTTATGGTCCAGTATTAGGGTGAAGACAGTAGAATAAAAGGAAGGGATTAATGCACACATTGTAAATTATTATTATAAATATATTATTACCATAATAATTATTATAAAAAGGAATGGATACAGTTTGGCAGATCTAAAAATAACTCCAGGACTTGTAGCCAATAATAGACTATAAAACTGAGATTCTGTGTAGGGTGATTTTTACTCACTATCTAATATTTGTAACAATCCTGAACATGAGTGTTTTACTTATGAAAAAACTGCAGCTCATTATGGTTAAGTGACCATCTAAGAGCTTGCTAAGCTGTGATTTGATCCAGGTCTGGCCAGGAGGTCTGTACTCTTTCCTGTATATCACATTGTTTCTAGTTTGCAAAAGGGGAAGAATGTAGCATCATGGGCAGATTTGAAAGTTTGTGGAAAGAGGGAATATTTGGAATCATGAAGTGGCCATGGTATGTCCTAGAGGAGGTAGCCTTGTTGATCAGCCACTAAATCGTGTCCGACTCTCTGCGACCCCACGGACAGCGGCACGTCAGGCTTCCCTGTCCTTCGCTATCTCCCAGAGTTTGGTCAGATTCATGTCCATTGAGTCAGTGACGTCATCCAACCATCTCATTCTCTGTCGCCTCCTTCGGGAGCTGGAAATGCTGGTCTGCTAGTGCAGAGCAGAAAGGCTAGGGTGGGAGTAGTAGCTTTGGGGGTTGAAACCTTCTGAATGGATGGATTCATTACCAGATTATGTCAGAAGCCTTGGGGGGCACTTTTTGTATGAGGTAGGCCCACCAGTGGTGCCAGCAAAGCAGAAAGGGACGAGTCAGGGAGACTGGTGGAATAGAGAATACAGTGTCACGGGCAACCAAGGGAACGTTGAGAATTTGTAGAGCGGGAAAGTGATTGGTGATATCATTCATTTATTTAACAGATGTTTACAGAGATGCTAACCATGTGATACAGCAGTGCTCCAGGCAGACAAGGTTCCTACCCACAAGAATGAAGTTTTGTTGGGAAAGATAGGTAATACTGTATAGTCCATGGGATCGCAAAGAGTCAGACACAACTGCGTGACTTTCACTTTCAGGAGCTAGTTATGAAGGTCCTGGCAGTGCAGTGGGAGAGCACTGAAAATTTCTGAGGAACGGAGAGCCATGGTCTCACTCATATTTTAAGACGATGCTTCTGGTTGCTGTGTGTAGAATGCATCGTAGGGTGCAGGCTGACAAGCTGGGCATTCAGTGCTGTGGCAGATGACAGAATCAGTGAGGCGTGTGTATTGCATGTGAAGTTACATTGATAAGGAGACTGCTCCTGATCAGTGTTTCATGGGACATTTATTTCTAGATCCTAGTACCTTCATTGTCATGTTCCAGAGAATGGCAGGAGAGATTCTAAGTGTTTTTGGTTTTCTTCTGTGCTTGAAATGATGGATTTAGCTGTTTGGGAAAGAAAGTTCATGCTTCAGAGCACTCATGACACTTTTGCCTAATTCCAGTAAAAGAGATGGAACTTTATGGGGACAGAAATTTTAGAGTCAATGTTGAATTACTGGTTTCCATCAGGACATTTGTTTCTTTTTCCAGTTCTGTTCACTGTAAGTTGGTGGTGCTAGCAACAGGAGATTGTGTAGTCAGTCTCCAGATGACTTTTTAAAGACATTTTGTTTAGACTCTGTATAGTTTATTTTTGAGTTTTAATATGAAAAATGTTAAACACATAAAAAGCAGACCCGCGTGTCTCCCTATCATTCAGTGTCAACAGCAGTCTGGTCATGACTAATCTTGTTTCACTGATTCCCCAGAGTTCTCACCATTACCCTTGTCCTATTTATTTTTAAGCAAATTCCAGATAAATCATCTGTAAATATCTCAGTATATACTTCTAAAAGGTAAGGACTTTTCTACATTTTAGTGTTTTGGTTTCTTCCCTCATGGAGCACATAAACAGGTAACCATATAGCTGGATGGTTTTGCCTTTGAGAGTGCCAATTTATGCTTATTGTCCAAGTGTATTTATTGATAGGACCCCTTTTCACTTAAAATACTGTCTCCATTTGAACAATAAATTCTATGATTGCCTTGTATACATGAGAAGCCTTTTCATAGTGGACAGTAAATAAATTCTTCAGTATTGAGTGTTTTCCTAATTGCTTGTCACCTCTCTGTCTTCTATCAGGAGAGCAAGCCCTGGAGTTCACTCCTTCAGGAGATGACCAAAATGCAGTGCTACGTGAGTCAGAGAGAGGAGGAACCTGAGCCACATGTAAGAAGGGGCTGGAGCAGCTGAGTTGCCTGGATTATGCCATTTTTTTTTCCCTCCACCCCAGTCTTTCTTTGTTAGGATTTGCTCAAAAAATGCAGAGCACATTTTTTAATTTTGAAAACAAAAAAGGAGATTTCTAACATTTGAATTAAAAGGATAATACTTTAGAAATATTGACCTACATGAATATCTGGTAAGCTGCTAAACTAAATTACCCAAGTTTAGGTTTTTTCCATGATTGATTATTATTTGGGTTTTGTTGTCCTTATCTCATGGTCTACTTACTCAGACCTCTTAGTAACATTGTCATCACTTTCTGTTTTTATCTAAAAGGATAGATGACTCTATCAGACATTTAATAGTTATACATGGTTAGCAAAGGTGGAAGCTAGAGAAAGTGAGCATCCATAAAATACCCCTCATTTTACACTGTCTTGCAGTAGTATCCTTGCTGTTTGTCTGTGTCTTTTTAGTAGTTCCCTGAGGTCAAAGATTATTTTACATCCTGGCTTCTCCCACGGTTATACTTAGCATGTCTTAGACATGAAAAGAGTATGATGAATACTCTTTGGAGGAAATGAATGAAGGAAATCGGGGGTATTTTTGGCACAGAACATTATAAATATACTTCTAGATGTACTGAAACTGAGGAGAAAGCAAGTGCAAAACTTTTATAACTTGTGATAGTAAAGTTTGGTAAGAGAAAAGGACTGGGAATGCTGGTTCAAGATTTACTCACCTAAAATATTGTCCTTTATTTTCATAGCAACACAATGTATTGTTATCTCCACACATTTATCTCTGTTTTGGGAGATTAGAAACCTGAGGCCTAAAATCTCATGGCAAATCTCTGTAAAAGATAAGAAATAATACCCCCATTTCTAAGTACAGTGTTCTTTCTGAAAGACCAAGTTACTATTTATATAGAAGATAAATGAGAAGCAAACTGTGAAATACATTTTGTCTCTGGATTACTACACCCACTGCTGGGTGAAGATCCAGAGAGTTCTCTTCAGTTTTTTTCCACCACTCTGAATATAACAAATGGAGCCTGAATATAACAAATAACACCTCCTCACAGAGGTGGTGTTTTTTTTTTTTTTTTTTTGCTTTTCCCCAATACTTAGAGGCAATTTTCCTGTCAGGAATGAACATAGATAGGAGGGTATTTCTCTGTCTCACGACGATGCCTGAGTCTCGGATAACAAATTGTTATGAACATTTTTGCCCTCTGTTAAATGTAGCTGCTAATCATTTTATAGGGCTCTAATAGGAAGAAAGTGGGTGTGTCTCAACAGTGAAACTGCTTTTGGACACTTACCTAATCCATCTCTTACTATTAATAACTCCCAAGTACAATATCCATGCCAAAAAATAAAACCTATATTGGATTTAAGATGATCTGCGAGGCACACACCAGCGATCCAACCATTGTTCCCTCTTAGAAGACTTAGGCATTTTCCAGAAAGTTTCGGAAATGGGGGAAGCAAGGTTGTTGAGCAGAAGGTCTTCAGGACTGACACACTTCTCTCTCTTTCGCAGGCCTGAATGTTGGCGGTGACACCATTAACAGGCTGGCATTTATTTCTCTTCTAAGCAGCTACCGTTAACTGTGAATAGTAACTATGCCTATGTGTTGGTCAGCGAAACCAAGGAGCAGGAGCTATGGCAGTTGAGGAGGTCTGTCTGATTCCAGGGTATCTTCCCCCGGCTCCACCATCAGGGACCTTCTCCCTCCCACCTCAACAACAATGTGGTCCCGTCTGCCGTTTGAGAGAGATTAGGGACATGTTCTTTGGCCTACAGCTAGGACTCAGAATCTGCTGGAGTAGGGTCAGAGACCATTTCAGTCCCAGCTGAGGAAGATGAAATTTCCATTCTACTTGGTGCCTTGTCCAGGGAGCACACTAACTCGCGGGAAAACGTGTTGATTGAGAAGAGGCTGAGCCTGGCCCACTGGAAACCCGCGGTCATGGCGAGTGAGCCGACGTGACCCGCGCGGGCAGGGGCCGCAGAGGGACTCATGACGGGCTATACCATGTTGCGGAATGGGGGCGCGGGGAACGGAGGTCAGACCTGCATGCTGCGCTGGTCCAACCGCATCCGGCTCACGTGGCTCAGCTTCACGCTGTTCGTCATCCTGGTGTTCTTCCCCCTGATCGCTCACTATTACCTCGCCACCCTGGACGAGGCGGACGAGGCGGGCAAGCGCATCTTCGGCCCGCGGGCCGGCAGCGAGCTCTGCGAGGTGAAGCACGTGCTGGACCTCTGCCGCATCCGCGAGTCCGTGAGCGAGGAGCTGCTGCAGCTGGAAGCCAAGCGGCAGGAGCTGAACGGCGAGGTCGCCAAGCTGAACCTGAAGATTGAGGCCTGCAAGAAGAGCATCGAGAGCGCCAAGCAGGACCTGCTTCAGCTCAAGAACGTCATCAGCCAGACGGAGCACTCCTACAAGGAGCTGGTGGCCCAGAACCAGCCCAGGCTCTCCCTGCCCATCCGCCTGCTCCCGGAGAAGGACGACGCCGGCCTCCCGCCCCCCAGGGCCCAGCGGGGCTGCCGGCTGCACAACTGCTTTGACTACTCCCGGTGCCCGCTGACCTCTGGTTTCCCCGTCTATGTTTATGACAGTGACCGGTTCGCCTTTGGCAGCCACCTGGATCCCTTGGTCAAGCAGGCTTTCCAGGCCACGGCCCGAGCCAACGGCTATGTCACCGACAACGCGGACATCGCCTGCCTTTATGTGATCCTAGTTGGGGAGATGCAGGAGCCCGCCGTGCTGCGGCCCGCCGACCTGGAGAAGCAGCTGTCGTCCCTCCCGCACTGGCGGGCGGACGGCCACAACCACGTCATCCTCAGCCTGTCTCGGAAGTGGGACACGCAGAACTTACTGTACAACGTCAGCACGGGCCGGGCCATGGTGGCCCAGTCCACCTTCTATGCGGCCCAGTACCGGCCTGGCTTTGACTTGGTGGTGTCGCCGCTAGTCCACGCCATGTCGGAGCCCAACTTCATGGAAATCCCGCCACAGGTGCCGGTGAAGCGGAAGTACCTCTTCACCTTCCAGGGCGAGAAGATCGAGTCGCTGAGATCCAGCCTTCAGGAGGCCCGCTCCTTTGAGGAGGAGATGGAGGGGGACCCTCCGGCCGACTACGACGACCGGATCATTGCCACCCTCAAGGCCGTCCAGGACAGCAAGCTCGATCAGGTCCTGGTGGAATTTACCTGCAAAAACCAGCCGAGACCCAGCCTACCGACCGAGTGGGCGCTGTGTGGGGAGCGGGAGGACCGCCTGGAGCTACTGAAGCTCTCCACCTTCGCCCTCATCATCGCGCCCGGGGACCCGCGCCTGCTCGTCTCCGCGGGGTGCGCCGCCCGGCTCTTCGAGGCCCTGGAGGTTGGGGCTGTCCCGGTGGTGCTGGGCGAGCACGTGCAGCTGCCCTACCAAGACGTGCTGCAGTGGAGCGAGGCGGCGCTGGTGGTGCCCAAGCCGCGGGTCACTGAGGTCCACTTCCTGCTGCGGAGCCTCTCGGACAGCGACCTGCTGGCCATGCGGCGCCAGGGCCGCTTCCTCTGGGAGACCTACTTCTCCACCACGGACAGTATCTTCAGCACCGTGCTGGCCGTGATCCGGACGCGCATCCAGATCCCCGCCGCTCCCATCCGGGAGGAGGCGGCGGCCGAGATCCCGCATCGCTCGGGCAAGGCGGCCGGCACCGACCCCAACATGGCGGACACCGGGGACCTGGACCTGGGCCCGGTGGAGACCGAGCCGCCCTACGCCTCGCCCAAGTACCTGCGCAACTTCACGCTCACCGTCACCGACCTCTACCGCAGCTGGAACTCCGCCCCGGGCCCGTTCCATCTGTTCCCGCACACGCCCTTTGACCCCGTGCTGCCCTCGGAGGCCAAGTTCCTGGGCTCAGGGACCGGATTCCGGCCCATTGGCGGCGGGGCCGGGGGCTCCGGCAAGGAGTTTCAGGCGGCGCTCGGAGGCAACGTCCCTCGGGAGCAGTTCACGGTGGTAATGTTGACTTACGAGCGGGAGGAGGTGCTCATGAACTCCTTAGAGAGGCTGAACGGCCTCCCTTACCTGAACAAGGTCGTGGTGGTGTGGAATTCTCCCAAGCTGCCGTCAGAGGACCTGGTGTGGCCTGACATTGGGGTCCCCATCATGGTAATAATAGAGCCGTGAGCGGTTTGTTTACCGCACCAGAGGGTAGTTCATTCTTGATGATCTCTTTCCCATAAAGATGCTGTGTTTGTTTTTTTTTTTAACTTATTCAGATTCTTTCCCCATGAAAATTTCCCCTTTCTTCTATTTCAGTTCTTTCAGGCCTTTCCGGTTCTCTGCTGCTCATTTCTAAAGGCCCCTAAGACGTTCCCACAGGGAGACTGATACTGGCCCCTTGAAGGTTTACAAAACCCTGTCATTGAGCTCGTAGACATCTTCTCTGTCCTTACAAAGGGGCTGATGATGAGAATGATGAAGAAAAACTGACATTTAAGAAGCACTCATAATTTTAGAGTTTATAGAACTTACAGTAACAGTAATGAGCTAATATGATTTCTTCTGTGGAAACTGAGGCTTGGACATGTTAATTACTTTGCCCAAGGTCACGATTAGCATTTGTGGAGGAGCTGAGCTGTAGTCTGCCTGATTCCAGGAGCTGTGGTTTTAATCATCTCCCAAAGGGTTTAGGAAGGAGACCTGCTTCATTTCACAGGATTGTCTGCAAGTCCTCTGGGAGACTGGCCTCCGGGTTTGATATTTTGGGAGTTGGAGACCTTGGATCTTTTCTGTAGTTTCATTCTCATAAAACTCTTCTCTGTTACGGTTAGGATGACGTATTCTCCAGGAAAAGTAATAGCCAAATATGCAGGATAGAGCTTTAGTTCTGAGTACTTTATTTATCCACCTTCTGTTGTAAGTTTGTCCGTCTAGCGGGAGATTACGTATTTCTCTTAAATGTGAGGCCTTAGAACAAGTCTCAAGCCACATGGCAACAGTTTACCGTGTGGCACAGGTACTTTCCAGAAAAGGTAGCAAAGAAGGGCCAAAGAAGAGTCATTTTTAGGAAGAATTTGCCTTGAAGGGCATTGAGGAGCTAATTCACTTGAAATATTTTCTAAGCAGCCCCATGGTAAATGAGAAAGTATGAGTTTTGGCATGATAGAGACCTAGGATTAAATAGTCATTTTGTGATCTTTGATAAGTTAATTAACTCCTTTGACGTCAGGATTAAAGAGGGATCTAAGATAATACAGGGCTTACCCTGATAGCTCAGTTGGTAAAGAATCCTCCTGGAATGCAGGAAACCCTGGTTCGATTCCTGGGTCGGGAAGATCCCCTGGAGAAGGGATAGGCTCCCCACTCCAGTATTCTTGGGCTTCCCTGGTGGCTCAGCTGCTAAAGAATCTGCCTGCAGTGTCGGAGACCTGGGTTCGATCCCTGGGTTGGGAAGATCTCCTGCAGCGGGGAAAGGCTACCCATGCCAGTATTCTGGCCTGGAGAATTCCATGGCTGTATTGGGGTTGCAAAGAGTCTGACATGACTGAGCGACTTTCCCTTTCTTTCACTAAGATAATACAAGTAGTCAGTTCAGTCGCTCAGTCCTATCAGACTCTTTGTGACCCCATGAACTGCAGCTCACCAGGCCTCCCTGTCCATCATTAACTCCTGGAGTTTCCTCATACTCATATCCATCAAGTCAGTGATCCCATCCAACAATCTCTTCCTCTGTCATCCCCTTCTCCTCTCACCTTCAATTTTTCCCAGCATCAGGGTCTTTTCCAATGAGGCAGTTCTTCTCATCAGGTGGGCAAAGTATTGGAGTTTCAGCTTTAGCATCAGTCCTTCCAATGAATATTCAGGACTGATCTCCTTTAGGATGGACTGGTTGGATTTCCTTGCAGTCCAAGGGACTGTCAAGAGTCTTCTCCAACACCGCAGTTCAAGAGCATCAGTTCTTCGGCATTCCACTTTCTTTATAGTCCAACCCACATCCATACCTGACTACTGGAAAAACCATATCTTTGACTAGACAGACCTTTGTTGGCAAAGTAATGTCTCTGCTTTTTAATATACTGGAAAAGTGCCCAATAATTATTTGATTCCTATTTATTCCTTTGTGTCAAAGGAGATGGAAGTCAACATGGATGTTCTGCTTATGTTAAGGACTCATTTCACTGATAAACCTCCTTGTACCCATGACTTAATTTCCCTTGTGTCATAACTGTTACCACCTTTCTTCTCTTGTACAAATCTTTGTTTTCTTTTTTTTTTTTATAAATGCCACTACTTTCTTCATACTGCTGCTAATCTTTTTTTATATTTTATTTAATTGAATTTATAATCAGAGACTCTTCAAAGACTGTAGGATTCTGCAAACATTTGATCCCAGAATTTATCTTGTATGTTAAGAAAGCTTCGTAAACGGGGAGATTTCTTTATAGACTTCTTCCCAAATACATTTCACATTTTTTCTTTCCTAGTTACAACTTTTTGAATGTCATCGAAATTAAAAAAAAATCGTTCTGTGAAAGGTAGATGCTGCTCATTAGCAAAGCAGCCTGTGTTTTCCATTTTCCTGAGTTTTCTCTAAATTTGTTAGGGACGTGGAGAAGCTGATGCCGCCACAGTTAACAGTGACTGAAGTGCATCAGAGAACTTGCCAGAACTAATCCTTCCTTTTAACTCTGGTGGGAAATAAGTCTTTCTCTTTGATTACCGAGCCACTCATTGCAGCAATACCATGCTTTAGTCAGAAAGTGCCAGAAACTTTCCAGACCGGGGGCAGCTCTGAATAGCTTGTCCGTATTAGTGGTACACTTTTTTTTTTTTCCTAGTTCCTGTGAAAAAAGAAGAAACTCTTTCAAGCTGAAAAATTTCACCCCATTCTCTAAATATTTGGACTGCTTTCTCTTCAGTATGTAAGCGAGGCAGGGTTTTTGGACAGCAGTTGAACTGCCGCCCTCTGGGGCACGGAGCTATCAGGGCTGGCAGGGAGGGCAGCCCTCCATGGTGGGAGATGGCAGCGTGAGGAACCATCTCAGAGTGGGTTTTCCACCGAGGATGCAGACGTGACCTCTTTGTTCATTTTGCTACAGTTAACAGTAGATCTCTGTAAAATGACCAGGCAGTCTTTCAGGTTCCATTCCTTCAGGGAAGATGATTTGAGCTGAAAGAATCAACCAGGAGCCTCCCTGCCGCTTCAGAAAATGTTGGGGAGCCTGTGGGTCACCTTCTGCTCAGGGTGCCATCAGAGCAGCGGGCACAAATGCTGTCTGTCTGTGGGCTCTGAAGTCTGTTGCACCCTTGATGTTCAAGTAGAGAGCAGGGTTGTCTCAGGGGTACCTACTGGGGTCTATGGTGAAATCCCTCTTTCTTTTCCATTACTTACATAGCAAGGGGGAAGCTACTCTGGGTCTGGCTGAGAGCAAGTGTGATTTTCACTGCCACCCTCCTGCCCCGAATGCTTTATGTAAAGAGAATTTCAGTTGAGATCGGATGGGGCCTGGGCGAATTGACGGCACTGCCCACGGGGAGGTGGGATGCGTGCCACCAGCTACAGTGGGTCTCTCACCTGGAAGGTAGAGATGGCTGCACCAGAGGCATCTTTATGTTTCTTGCTTGTTTGTGAGCAGTCAAATCAGGTTACTTAGCTCCTTGAGTGGAATGACATGAATGTTTAATGGAAGTCAGATGGAGGGTGGCATTGGGCCAGGGGATTTGAAGGTCTGTCTTTTGAAAAGCTCCCTTCTAGGTGGTGGAGTCAGCACTTTCATGAATCTTAAAGATTTTCCACTGTTTCCTGGCTGCCGTTGTTTGTAATGATAGTCAGTGATTTCTCAAATATTTATTTCCCCATAGGTAATGTGTTATTTTTCTCTGGCCACTTTGAAGAGTTTTTCTGTGCATTTGGTTTTCAGCAGTTTGACTGTGATGTGCCCCTGCGTGATTTTCTCTGATCTCTGTTCTGATTGGGGTTCACTTAGTCTCTCAAGGGCTTCCCAGTGGCTCAGTGATAAAGAATCCGCCTGCCAGTGCAGGAGATGTGGCTTCGATCCCTGGGTCAAGAAGATCCCCTGGAGAAGGAAATGGCAACTCACTCCAGTATTCTTGCCTGGGAAATTTCATGAACAGATGAGCCTGGTGGGCTACAGTCCATGGGGTCACAAAGAGTTGGACAACACTTAGCGACTAAACAACAACAAGGCTCTTAAATCTAGTAATTTATGTATTTAAAAATTATATTTGGGGAATTTTTTGTTCAATATTTGTTCAGATATTTTCTTCCTCTTTGGAGACTTCATTCTGTGTATAATAGGCATTTAAAAAAATTTTTACAAATTTATTTGTCTATTATACTATACTAGGCATTTTGATACTGTCTTGCAGTTTTCAGCAACTCTGTTCATTGTTGAAGAATCATTTTTAATCTTTGATAATTTCACACGTTTACTGACTTTGGTGTCTACACTGCTGTTTATTGAATTAGTTTTAAATTTCAGATACTGTGTTTTCCAGTTTAAGAATTTCCATGTTTTTAAAAATAATAGTTTCTGTTTCTCTCCTGAGATTTCCTTTTTTTTTTTTTCCCATTCTGAATACACTTCATTTAAAAAATTTTTTTAAAAATTTATTTTACTTACTTGGCTGCGTTGAGTCTTAGTTGCAGCACGTGGCGTCTTCGTTGGTTCACGTGGGCGCTTTCATTGCTGTTTGTGGACTCAGGGCACAGGGTCCCTGGAGCGCGAGGGCTCAGTAGTCACGGCACACGAGCTTCTTGCTCCTTGCCATGCGGAATCTTAGTTCCCCGATCAGGGATCGAACCCATGTCCCTTGCATGGCAAGGCGGATTCTTAACCACTGGACCACCGGGGAAGTCCTGCTTCACTTTATTGAGCGCAGTCAGGTTCGCTGCTTAACGTCTTGGTCTGCTAATTCCAGCGTATGGGTTGAGTATTTATTGTAATTGGGGATCATGTTTTTCTGGTCCTTTGTACAGCAAACAGTTTTGTATTAAATTGTGAATGTTGCGAAGACCATGGATTTTGTTTTATTTCTCTGAAAAGTGTGGAGCTTTTAGTTTTAGCGGGAAGTTAATTTGGCTGGACTCACTGCAAGTTCTCTTGGGTGGCAACACAAATGTTAGTTCAGTCTTCTTGTCTGTA